TTCATGGGTACCCTAGGTTTTTTTGGACATTCTATCTCCTTACTCCCCCCTGCCACATTTTAACTCTGTGGATGTGTTGCTCTGATTTCCCTTGGAAAGGGGCCACCAACTGTCCCTGACCACTTTGGGCTTGAGAAAAGTTCAACTTTGAAACTCAATGTTTTTTAAAAAGATGCTGGCTTTGACTGAGCAGCCTCAGAGAATTTTAATTCATGCAAAGGAAAAGAAAAAAAGCTTTCCTGGTATTCTCTGAAATATGATTTTTGCTATGTAAGTCGGTTGTTTAGCAAGAGCAACCAACTTTCCTAATACTATCCATTATCTTCTGAGCAGGGGAAAGGGTTGTATCAAGATAACTAAAGTACTACAAATTAAACAAATGACACCTTATATCTGTCGATGACACTTAACCTAGATAACACTAACCTAAAGAAAAAGAATCCTAACGTTTTAGCCAAGTGGGGACAGGTGCACGCCAGAACCAAAAGTTGAGGCAGGAGGATCCTCAGTTACACAGTGAGTTCAAGCCCAGCCTGAACTACACAGCAAGACCTTGTCTCAAAGTAATAACCATAATAATCTTATTAAGGCTTTAATCAGATTACTCCTACTTTTAACAACAGTCAAAGGTGTTCCAAATGTATCAAGGTTCTGTTGAGGTCTCTTAGCTCCCCATCAAGTCACTATGTCCTCTCTTAGACTTAGTGACCTAGTCATAAACTCACTTTCCTGGAGTCCTATCTCTCCAGACATCTGAAAGGTATTGGTTTCTGTTTCTCTCTTAGCACCCCAGAGGCCTTGTACCCTGAGTAAATTCTTAAGACATTACAGTTCTTGCCTGTTAAAGAATTTGTTGACTCTTTCTGTTCCCAAGACAGCTCACACTCGAGTCCAGGTTGAAGGCTGCCCCTTGCTATTGTGTCAGGAGCCTAAGTGAACGTTATAGATGCAGCACTGGAGCTTGATCAATGACAAAAGAAAGGATTGTATGCTTCATTGCATTTCTATAGCTAACTTAGCTCAGATTCTTATTCCTAAGACAAAAATCTTATATCTTGCCTCAATACACCTCAGTAGAACAACCTCTCCTGACATACGAACACAGGACACAGGCCTTGATTGCTGGGGAAGGAACCTCCTCTTCCCTCTCTGCCCCTCAGGTCACTCCTCTCAGGCCAGGCTTCAAGAAGAACCAGCCCTGAAAACTGCTTTCCTTACCCATCCCTTGCTCTACTTCTTTCTCCAGGCAGTTCCCCTCCTCTACTCTCGCACCCATCAGTGACCAGAAGCTGTGGAGACAGAACTGAATAGTGAGGATTGTCCCTGTCCTACAGTAGCAACTGGCACTGAACACAACCAACTTTCTCAAAAAATGGCGAAAGGAAGCAAATGCCTCGAAAAATGCAAGTTCAGCAACACCACCCGGGCCAGGTAGAAAATGAGAACTGTGAACAAGGAAGTAGCTTGTGAAAGGAGGGCATTAAGTGGAATAAGAAAAAAAGTCAGGCTGCACATTCCGGGCCACAGAAAGGGCATGGGCAGTACGACCTCAGGAGAACAGGCATGCAGAGGAGGGGTGACTCAAGTCTCCAGAGAATGAAAACATGGAAGGAGATGAGGCTAAAGAAGGTAGGACCAGGTGGCTTGCAGTAGCCAATGGAGAGTTGTAGAAGCTTTCTGAATTAATCCAGACTGGGTCCTGAAAGAGACTAGAAAAGAAACTGAGTAAGCCTTTGAAGTAACCCACATACCACGTGACAAAGATGTATTTGTGAGAAAGGAAGCTAGGACAGCAACCATTGAAGAACAGTAGCCATGGCCCTATGCTATCCCATGGCCATGGGCCACAACAAGGGCCACAAGGTGACTAAGAATGTGAGCACACTGAGGCACAGCCACAGTCACACACTGCCTCACCAAACACACCAAGTTCATGCACCATGGAGCTGCTCATGGTCTCCAAGGACAAAAAAGCCCTCAAGTTCATCAAGAAAAGGGTGGGGAGGTACATCCATGTCAAGAGGAAGTGCAAGGAACTGAGCAACATGCTGGCCGCCATGAGGAAGGCAGCTGCCAAGAGCTGAGCCCCTCTGGAATAAAGCTTTGCAGAAAAAACAGAAAGAAAGAAAGCAGGCAAGCTGGTAACCATGAGTCCAGGGAACCCACTCCTGGTCCCCAGAGACAGGGAGCATGTGGCTACCGGCATGGTGTCTACAAATGAGAAAATGGTACACAGTGCTCTTACAAAAACCTTGTGGCTGGGGCTGGTAAGATGGCTCAGTGGTCTAAAGCAACTACTTAGAACAAGCTAAGCTAAGCAAAGCACAGGGACCGCGGTTCAATCCCCCAGCACCACATGCCAGCCAGCTCCGCCCCCTGGTGGGCTGAGCTGGCCACACACACAAAAAAAAAAATATAAATAAATAAATAAAATTTAAAAAAGAAAAAACCTTGTGGCTTTCTTTGGGCAAGTTACTCCGTGCCTCAGTTCCTCACTGGAAAGCAGAGTTGTACATAATATGCATGCTTACCTCCTGGAGTTGTTTCAGTGTTAAGTAACTAACCTATATCAGTACATGCTGTGTTTGCTCCTGGGTTCCAAAGTTTTAACTGGCAAAACACTCTTCTCAATGCCACCAAACTACTGGGCTTGTCCACCAGGAGACAGATGGTGCTAGTTCTCTAAATCTCCAATGCCCTAGACTATAATGTATAAGATGATGTCATCACAAGTGGATTTCAGAGCCATCCAACCCAAAGCCTTCTCCAAAGATTCTAAAACTCAGCCTTCAGCCTTCTCTGTTTCCTTCCTGGACCAAAGACATCTGGATACTCCCAAAATACTCTCTTCTTCCTTGTTGCAGCTGGAATCAAACAGCTCTTATCTAAGCCTGCTTTACTCACCTAAATTGGGAGTCTAAATCCCAGGATTGACACCTGGTGAGAAGGCCTTACTCAATTCTGCCCCCATTGGTAACTTAGAAGAAATACATCCAGTGTCCCCGGGGAAACTTCACAGGCTGTATGTAGGTAGAGAAAAGATACCTACAGGAAAGATGTTTTCACATTGTACATTGTAAGTGAGCAAGGCTTCAGTCCTCTAAGTCTTAACAAAAAGAAATGAATGGTCCAAGGAGGCTACAAGGCCCCACAATGCATGGGGCTTAGAGATCATTTCCACATATTCTAGCTAAATTTTTTTTTTACCCTTGTTTAGTTAGGAGAGAGGATTCTTGGGCCACAGAATAACGCAGATAAGTAAATCTGTGAACGAACTTACATCCTGGGGCTATTTTCACCCAGATGAGAAGACCTCCCTTGTACTAACCAGCCTCCACTTTGTACTTTGGGTCTTGCCAAGAGATGACAGTCTTCCCCCAAGAGTTAACTCGTATGTCGGGCAGAGAAACATACGGAAGTTGCCAAGATCCTGCCAGCTCAAAGACACGTTTTAAATAAACTGAATTAAAGTGCAGGGCCACATCCCCAGAAGAGTTTAGAGTAACAGCACTTACAAAGAAAGAGTAAAACAAGTAAACCAAGATCCTCTGCTCCCTACTCAGATCTGAGCTTCATCCTCCACCGGCTTGAAAACATCAAGATAGTAACTTCTCATACTTCCCCGGGACCTGGGGACCACCAGAAAGGGGACACCGCAGGTTTACCACAGCACGATGTCCAGACATTTTCCCTAAAATGTATTCCCATTAGACATTGAAATTCCAAGTATGTAATAATTGAGCAACGCTCAGTACTTGACTGACAGCCCTAAAATAACTTTCAACCTTACCCCCTTCCCCGACCATTCCCTCCCTCAAACCCCAGCCAAGGGTCAGGGCAGGATCCAGTCGCCGAATCCTGGGCATTTCAGAAACTCAGTTCCCCCTCGAGTCTGAGCACCCTGGCCCGGACCCACCCTCACCTCCACACCCGGGCAGGGAGAGTGAGAACCCCGGTAGTACAGAGGCCCTTTCTTATGTAAATGACCAGCGGGCCGCTGTGATAGCTCGGGTTGCGGGGACAAAAACCAGGTAGGAGCAGACAGATCCGGGCCTCTGGCAGAAAAAAAGCTCATTTTTCAGAACACGAATCTCAAACATCTGGGAAACCTGGCGCGGTGGTACATGCCTGTAAATCCCAGCACTCAGGAGGATCACTTCGAGTTCAAAACCAGCCTGGGCTACAAAGTGAGTTCAAGTTTTCACTACATAGTGAAACCCTGTCTCGAAAAGATAAATGAATATATAAATACACATATAAGTACATAAATCTGGGGAAACGGGGGTGGGGTACAGAGAGTGGTCCTTTCTGAGTAACTTTTAAACGCAAATCAGGGTCCAAAGTCCGCTCCCCAACTAGGGGACAAATCTCCGGGTCGCGATGAGGAGCGGTCGCGGAGAAAGGACGCCCCTCGCCGAGCCTCAGTTCCGGGAGACTCAGTTCCGGGGAAGGGGCGCGCAGGCGAAATTCCTCTACGTCCTTTCCCGCTCCTTCCCGGGTCGGCTTTTTCTCCAGCCCGCCTCCGCAGGGCAGTGAGGAATCACAGAAGAAACCACGCTTCCTCCAAGCGTCCTTAAGCGCCAGAGGCCCCCAGCTGCCCCCAAGCGGCCGCAGAGCCTCCTCCTCCCCCCACCCCGCCACGATCCTCCCCACGTGCTCTCGCCGGAACTCGGGCTTCGGAAGGGGGGCTCCCCCCACGTGGGCCAGGGCAGACCTTGACTACGTGCCTGCCGGCGCCCCTCCAGAAACAAGAAAAAAAAAAAAAAAATGGGGGTCGGGGAGACTCGCGCAGAGCTACGGGGAGGGAGCGCACTCGCACGCGCGCTCCAGCCTCCCAGAGCCTAGCGGACGTGGCTCCTCGTGCCACGGAGTTTCCCAGCTACCCGACTTTTTCCGCGTCCCTAGCCCCAAGGAAGGAAGAGGCAGGACCCGGGAGTTCCGGGCGACCACGCAACTTTGTCGAAAGTGAGCCAACCGCCATCCTGCGCGTGCTTACTTACCTTCTGCACTTGGTTACGATTGAGCTCCGTGAAGAAGCAGGCGATCAGATGCGAGGCAATCATCCTGTTGCAGCCAGGCGGCGTGGAGTTGGGAAACCCAGGCGCAAGCGCTTGCGGGGGAGGCGAGTGGCGCGGGCCGACCGCTTTGTACCCGGGCTCGGCTGCTTGGCAGGGAACGGGGGTCCCAGGAGGCAGCCAAAGCAGGCTAATAGTGTTTGCGGACCGGCTGGGGTGGTCTCGGGTCTCTAGAAAGAGGTTTTTGGAGTCAATTGCTAGAAGCTGTCTAAGTATCACTTCAGGCTACTTTTTTGGTTACCCAGTGTCGAGCCAGCCACACGGTCACTTAAGAAGAATCACAGCCAAGTTTCACTAAGGCAGTCGGATCTCTTCGGCTTACTCCCACGATGCTCCGGCGAGCGATGTTGCCAGTGGCCTGGGACTGACACGATGTTGCCAGTGGCCTGGGACTCCAGCGCTGGAGTTTCGTGCAACAATGTGGCTTATTGAAGGGCTGCCGGCTCGCGGGCCGCCCGCTCAATGACGTGCGCACTCCCATTGGCTGCACAGAGAGGGTGTGTGCGCCTGCGGGCCGCCCGTCGGAGCGGCCCAGCCAATCACCGTGCACGATCCGCGGGCGCGGCTGCTCCGACACCCGAGCGGGCTAGCTGGAGAGGCGCGCCTGGGGCGTGGGGCGGGGCCTGGCTCTCCGAATGGGACGTGTGTTCCGTGGCAAGAAGCTGGGACGCTAAAGCGCATGAGCCACCGCCGCGTCAGCCGGAGCTCGGGGTGGGGGGCGCGTGATCGCGGACCCAAGAGAGGTGGGAGGACTGGAAAGACAAGTCACTGGACTAGCACACGCCCTGTGCAGAGATACACCGTCTGGTATCTCGGGATCACATGAGGGGCTCCATCACACGTCTGAAGCATCCCTTTCTCGCCTAGTCTGGCTCAACCCGTTCACGCATGGCTGATGCGAAGTGAGCCGCCTTAGCTGGTGATTACTCTATATACCAAGATTACAAGAGTCGGCCCATCTAACCCTCACATCGCTAATGGGGATGGGAGTTGCACCAACCCCATTTTCCAGATACAGAAACCGACACATAGCTCTGTTAGACTTTCCCAAGATCACACAGCAAGCAAGTTGCAGATGGAGAGAGAAACCTACCTGCCTCTGGTTTGAGAGCCTATTTGCTTCCCCATTACAGTATTCTGCTTTTCTAGAAGCCAGGGAAGTAGATGGGGGGCAAGAACATTGCCTGCAGCTGTGGGACTGATAAATGGGTGAAACTAGGTGGATGGTGTGTGTGTAACTGGATGATCTGTGTGTGTTTTGGATGGGTGGGGCGGGGTGACTTAAGGTGCTGAGAGGAGCAGGAGCCCCAACCAGACCTAATGCGTGGTACCAGACTCCAAATGTATGTATGTTGGTGAAGTGACAATGAAATACCAACCTCAGGGCCTGCCAAATAGCTTAGAGGATTAAAGCGCCTGCAAGCAGGCGCAGGGACCGGGGGTTCTCTTCTATCCCCCCTGGGGCACGCTGAGATGGCAATTGAGACTGGGTGTGATGGCACATGCCTGTAATCCCAGCTCTTGGAAGGCTGTAAACAGGCGGATCACTACAAGTCCGACCTAGTAGTGAGATCCTGAACACCCTGTAAGCCCTTCCCTAAAATACAAAAAATAAAATAAAATAGAAATACCAACCTAAGAAAACCCAAGATCGATACCATTGGAGAAAGACAAGTCTGGGATTGGAGAAGACACAGCAGATAGATTGGGCCCAAAGTGCTAGTCACTTTGGCACCTTAGTGACTTGTCCTAACCACCACAATGACCTAAGGCTGCAAATCCTTTGCGTGCTCTCCTCTCTTCCCCATCCTGGCCTTAATCCATCTCAGCCATGGTGGGGATTGGAAACCACACCTTCCTGTCTTCTCTCTTCTGGGTTCCAGCCCCACCACACTCCCCCAAGCCCCTCAGCCCCGTACCCTCTGCTGGCAAGCGCAGGGGAATTCCAGAGCTGCTTCCATCCTACTCCCCGGTTCCTGGCACTGCCTGGGTGATCCTCCCAGCCCCATGACTGCTAATATCACCGACACGTGGGTGACTCACAAAGTAAATCTACAACAAAACCTCTCCCAGAGCTTCCAACTTATCCCTCCAACTGACATTTGTCATCTTCACTGTAGGGAGCAGCAAGTCACACTTAATGCAAAGTAGCAGTCGACTTTTCTTCCAAAATCTTTCACTTTTCCAGTTGTTTCAGAAAATAGAATTGCCCTTCTGCTCAAGCCACCTGGATTCCTTGCTGCTTCTCACCTGCACGTCTCAGCAATCTGTGAACAAGGTGGGGAGAGAGTTCAGCGGCACAGCACCTACCTGACAAGTACAAGGTCCTGCTTTCAATTCCTGGTACAAAAAAATATCTGTGAGGAAGCAGTGTGTAAGGCCTCTTAGTCTCAGGGGCTGTCCCCCTCTCTCTGATGCTTCCTACCCAAGTCACCAAGGGACCCAGCAAAGTCAGTGCCCCATCATCCTGCTTCAGTTCTTCACCACCTCTGCCCTGACCCCTGTAATCTCTTTTTCACTGAGGAGCCCAAATGACTCTTTAAAAATGTAAACCATGCTGTAAAATATAAACTTGGCTCGGAGCCACCTTATGGTTTCCAATCTTAGAATAAAATGTGAGCTCCTGAAAATGACTGCAAAGGCTTTCAGGCCCTTGCCTCCCTCTCTTCCCTGTCTCATCAGACTTGCCCCAGTGCACTGCAGCGTGCTCACACGGGCATACTTTTCTCAAGAAAAAAAAAAAAAAGCCCACTATTTCCCTCCCAAGCATCTTCGCTCTTTTTCTTTCTATGTGGAATAATCTCCAGACCTGGCTCCTGCTGTCCTCTCTCTTATTGAGATCCAGCTCAGATATCACCTCCTCAGAGGAGGTTCCCTGACCAGATTGTCTCAGGCAGTTCCTGCCTCACTATTATTTGGCTCTGGTTGACTTCCTGTTTATTTTCTGTATGCTCTATTCTTTCTCTCTTCGAAAGACCAAGCTACAAGAGGTTATGGTTATGCCAATGTTCTCTTATATCTTTGGTACCTAGAATGGTAGATGTGCAAAAGATATTTATTAGGGCTGGCCAGATAGCTCAGCAGACTAAAGCACCTGCTTAGGCAGAGCCCAGCAGCTGGGGTTGGATCCCTTGTGTGCTGTGCCAGCCCTGCCCCCAGGGCGCATCGAGACAGCAATTAAGACTAGAGGTGATGGCACATGCCTATAATCTCTGCGCTTGGGAGACTGAAAACAGGAGGATCACTAGGAGTCTGATCTATGTAGTGAGATCCTGAACACCCTGCAGACCTTTGTACTAAAAATATATATATATATATATATATATATATATATATATATATATATATAATCTATTGCATCAGTTAATGGAAGAAATTGTAGAAATGCTATTGTTTCACATTTTGTATAACAATACACATAAACATAGAAAGGTTGGCTTTATATGTTCTATGTATTTCTCAAATCTTTCCCACCTCTCTAGCCCAGTTCATACTACCAGTGCCTTTCTCCTGACTGCAAAAGCCTCATTGAACAGGGCTTTGCTCTTTACATATAGATACACCATCACCCTATAAAGAAGCTTAAAGCAGGGAGTGATATGATCTGACTTGCTTTTGTAAGACAATAACTGTACTCTACATGGGACAAGAAGAGACAGAAACTATAAGATAAGGACGCAAGCCAAGTGGAGGGTGGGGCAGGGAGTTGGGCTGTGAGTTCACACGTCATGAAGTCTGAGGAAGAACTAGTGGCTTTGGCCTGGGGTAGGGGATGAGGAGGAGGATTACCTAAGCCCTTTGCCCAGAAATACTGAGAAAGATAACAGCCCATTACACTAAAACCCTCTGTCCCTGGCAGGGGGGACCAAAATCAGTGGGGTCAACTACAATCCCCTTCCCACACACTAATGTTACTGACTCCTCCACTCCCGTGTCTGTCCCACTTCACGTGGATTAGATAATGATCACAAGTGCTTTAAATACGTGTTGTCTTTCACAAAGCTCCCAGTAATCCTGGGAGATGGTTGGAGTAGGAGTTGTTCTGTGCCCCCAGTTTATACACAACACACTAAGGGGAAGCTGCCCACCCAGGTGGAGATGTATCTGCGGTTTTTCTTACCCCGAGCTCTGGCCTAGAGTTGGTTTATGATGCTCAGATAGGGAACCCCCCGACCCCCCGCAGAGAAACAAAGATGTTGAAAAGCAATAGCATGTTCATATCCTGTGTACTCCACAGCTAGCAATAAAAGAAATCAATCAACAAGTATTTATTAAATGCTTACAATGTTCAGGACTTTTCAGTGCTATGGGAAATAGATAAGGCAACAGAAGATATGATTCCTGTCCCAATGGGATGAACTGTTTAGTCAGAAATGTAAAGCTAACAGATACTACAGAATAGGAAAGTCTGTTGTAGGAAAGGGGGGGAGGGTACAGAAGGGGGAGGGGATGGGAG